ACCACTTCCAGTTTTCTAGTAGTTGATTGGAGATAATATTTTCATGCACACTTTTCTGCATAGTGCCTGGCATCTCTTCTTAAAACTATTTTGACAGATGGGGTGCTGGTGGCTCATACCTGTATTCTAGCTATTCAAAAGGCTGAGATCTGAGAATTGTGTTTGAAACCACCCAGACCAAGAAAGTCTGTAAGATCTTTTTTTTTTTTTTTTTTTTGGGTCCGTTCATGGGGCCTGAACTCTGGGCCTGAGCGCTGTCCCTCAGCTCTTCAGCTCAAGGCTAGTGCTCTACCACTTGAGCCACAGCGCCACTTCCGGCTTTTTTCTTTTTGCTTATGTGGTGCTGGGAATCGAACTCAGGGCCTCAGGCATGCAAGGCAAGCGCTCTTACCACTGAGTCACCTTCCCAGCCCAGTCTGTAAGATCTTACCACCAATTAACTAGCAAAAAGCTGGAAATTGAACTGTGACTCAAGTGATAGAATACTAGCCTTGAGCAATAAAGCTCAGAGACAGTGCACATGCCCTGAGTTCAAGCCTTAGGATTGGCACAAAAACAAAGAATAAGCTACATTAACCCTATTCATCCTCATTTACCCTCTTTTTTTTACCCCTTCTACTGTGGCCTAGAACTCAACAAACCCATTTTACTTTCCTGCCATCCATTTACATTTAATGTGTTTTTTGCACCAAGGGATTTCAGACATACATATCTTATATTTTGCTGAGAATAACTCCTTTTTTTCCTCCCTCTGCCCTCTCATCTCACTGATCAACAGCTTTCACTGAAGTTCCTTATGTCTTACTCATTCATAGTTGCACTATATTTCAAAATTATTCACCCTCCACCTTTCTTTATCTCCTCCTCTGCTTAGGAGTCTTATTTTTAGTAGCTAGAAGTCTTATTTAAATTGGAAACTGCTTATTCAATTAAAATTTTGGTCTTGAAATGTTACATTTTACTTACATGAACTTTATTTTTATATTAAATTGATATCAATGCTGTGAATTCCCCTTTATTGACCTAGCAATAAACTTGACCATGGTCATGATTTAGATGGCACATAGAACTGGAAGGAGAATTCTCTTCACTGTTTTAAGGTTAAAAATTACAAGTGTTTACCCCTCTAGAAGTAAAAAATATTCAATCAGATGCCATCTGGGGTACTGAGTACTGTTCCCTTGCCTTCTGTAACTAAGAAACTGTCTGGCTGCTTGGCTGAACAGAGATAGGTTATTAAACTGGCATTTGCTCTGAAATGTTCTTTAGGGAATCAGTGAGTGATTTTTAATGTTCTTAGTCGAATGAGGGTGGGTCTATTTTGGAACAAACCAAGGAGTGGCAGCTCAGCAAACACATACTGAGTATATACTGTATGCCAACAAGTCAACTTGTTGGCATAGTTAACTCATTTGGGGTAAGTTAACTCACTTGGGGTAGGTTGAACAGCCATTACAATATGAGAAATTTTAAAAGTTGATCTACTCTTTACTATGTAGTCTCAAAGATAGATGTTTACTTTATACCTTTGTACTTTTTTTCCTTTTTTAAGGTGCTAGGGCTAGAACCCAGAGCTTCATGGATGCTGGACTATCAGTGAGCCATACCTCCATCCCTGTCCCTTGTTTTCTTCAGGAATTGAGCCAAGCTCACTATTTCTTGGAATGAGATTTAATGTAGTTGTTGAACTTGAGTTTTACTGTATATCCTTTTTAGCATTGATCTGTATATTCAGTGTGGTTTAATATTGTCTTCAATATTTAGACTTACCTCTCAGGGTTTCTGTGCCAATTCTATTTGTGGCAAGACAGGAATTTCTCTGAAATTCTGAATGCCAGATAGCATTGTCTATAAAAATAAAAATTGCTAATTTGCGGGGGGGGGGATTTCAAGTGCTTTGCTACCTTGGATATGATTGACAAGTCTCTTCTTATATCCCTGAATTTAGTTCGCAAACTGTATTTGTAAACACACACATACACATACACACTCACACACACTTTTTTGTGTGTCTCAGTTCTAGGAGTTGAACTCAGTGTCTTTCACTCTTACTCAGCTTTCTTGTTCATGGCTGGCACTCTACAACTTCAGCAATGCCTCTACTCTGGCATTTTGCTGGTTAATTGGGAATGAAATCTAGACTTTTCTGCCCAGGCTGGCTTTGAATCATGATGCTCCAGGTCTGAGTAGCTAGGATTACAGGAGTGAGCTACTGGAACCTGGCTTGAATATATATTGTATTTCTCTCTGAATCTGTGAGGGATTTTATTCTCTTTACAGAAACCAAAATCCATGGATGCTCAAGTCCCTTGTGTGTGTGTGTGTGTGTACATATGTTATACTCCTGTATACTTTAAATATATTTAGATTACTTACAATGCAATATAATAAAAATGGTATGCAAATTTTTTTTTTGTATCAGTGATGGAATAAAGACAAAAAAAAGGTCTGTGTATCTTCTCTGTAGGTATAAATTTTTCATTCAAATATTTTCAATCTCATTGGTTGAATCCAGAAATGTAGAACCTATGGATATATCCATAGATTATATAGTAGGCCAAATGTATGAGTAAATTCTATTAGTCATTGCCCACAAGAAGTGCAGGGTCCAATAGGAGATTGCCTGCATGTAGATAGATAGTATACCATAATCAATATGTGCAATGAAAGCTAAGCACAAAATATAGATACATTATATATGGTTATTTGTATTCAGGGTAAAGGGAGTCAAATGTTATGTAGGAGATAGAGACTGAAAAGGTTCATTCAGATGGAGAGTTTTCATGATTGGATATCCTAGGTAGAGGGAATATTGTTCAGGGGGTATAAATGACATATAATCAACAGCTTTAGGATACACACTGTGAAGGAATAGTAGAAGTAGAAGAGAATGCAGAACCTATAAACTAGAGATTCCGGCTTGCTTTACTTTATAATTTAGAATTTTTTCCTAATATATTATCAACAGATTAAGGTACCAAAAAGTATACATCAGGAGAATGAAGGAGAGAGCTTAGTTATCTTCATTCCATAGTGATGTGGAATTTGAATTGAAGATGAGTGAAACTGGGGATATGAATGTTCCTAACTTGGAAAGTGTAAAGATGTTCAGAAATGAGTTAGTAAACTGAACTAAGATGATGAGATTGGGCAGAAGGAGTGAAGAATAGAGGCAAGATCAGAGAGGTGGACTGACTGTATAATTGAGAAGACCCAGAGATTGTCAGTTGGTTTTATTTATTTATTTATTTATTTTTTGGGTCCGGTTGTGGGGCCTGAACTCTGGGCCTGGGCGCTGTCCCTCAGCTCTTCAGCTCAAGGCTAGCACTCTACCACTTGAGCCACAGCGCCACTTCGGACTTTTTTCTTTTTTGCTTATGTGGTGCTGAAGAATCGAACCCAGGGCCTCATGCATGCAAGGCAAGCACTCTACCACTGAGCCACCTTCTCAGCCCCTGTCAGTTGGTTTTAAAGGATCTTTTTTTTGGGGGGGGTCCGGTCGTGGGGCCTGAACTCTGGGCCTCAGCTCTTCAGCTCAAGGCTAGCGCTCTACCACTTGAGCCACAGCGCCACTTCCGGCTTTTTTCTTTTTTTTTTTTGGGTCCGGTCGTGGGGCCTGAACCCTGGGCTTGCGCGCTGTCCCTCAGCTCTTCAGCTCAAGGCTAGCGCTCTACCACTTGAGCCACAGCGCCACTTCCGGCTTTTTTCTTTTTGCTTATGTGGTGCTGAGGAATCGAACCCAGGGCCTCGAGCATGCAAGGCAAGCACTCTACCACTGAGCCACCTTCCCAGCCCTCCGGCTTTTTTCTTTTTGCTTATGTGGTGCTGAGGAATCAAACCCAGGGCCTCATGCATGCAAGGCAAGCACTCTACCACTGAGCCACCTTCCCAGTCCGTCTTTTAAAGAATCATTGAGAGAGCAATGTAGGTTTTGCCATTGGATATACTGAAAAAAAGGCAGATAAAGAAGAAAGAGGATAAAAATTGTGGGTAAAGAAAAGGAGGGTGAGTGAATCTGAAGTGTTAAGAGAGTAAATTTGCTTTGAACATGTGATGTTTTAGGTACTTGTGATATATCTAGAGATAGCTAGTAGGCAATTGAATAGAAATACATGATAGTCAATAGAAGCCAAGAAGAGAACTGTAGACTTAAGAATCATTAACCTATAGTCACCACTTATATAAGTTCAAATCTTTGAGAGAGAGAGAGAATAGGAAGAAGAAAGCAGCTAGTGGAAGAACCCAGAGAAGTTAATTCTGAGACAGCAGATACTGCAGAGGAATAGTCTTTTTAAAAAGTTGGTTAAAATAATGTTACTGTGGAAAGAATTTCATGGAGTATGTGTCAGTAGTGTCCAAAGCCTAGAAATCTCAGAAGATACTGGTTGGCTTTGGAAATTTGAGGTCTCATAACCGTAGCAGATTGGGTAGAGGAATATTTCTGTTAAAATTGTAATTTTTATCCTGTTCTTGCCATTTAGTTATTCTATGACTTGAGAAAGTCATTTTATCTTTGGCTATAAATATGTGGTTAGCTTCTTGGAGTGATTTAGTCTGCAATATGCAGGTCCCTCCCCATGGGTTCATAAAAAGTACCTTGTGGCTCAACAACAAAATCAGAGGTAAAGCTCAGATGTTTATGGCAAGGAAGTGTAGAGCTCCTCTACCTTTGTTTCAAGTGAACCAGCAAAAGCGACTTGATTGTGTAAAATCTATTTTATATATTTGTTTGTACTATACAATTCAATTGAAAGAACTTGAAGCATAAGAAATTAGAAAGCTGTTGGCCTACAGGAGCCTTAAAATATCTTAATGTTTTAAAAGTTCTATTATTAATAGATGGTATTCATAATTCCTATACTAGATGTAAATCACATTAGATGCTGAATATGCATAATATAGGTAATAAAATTATTCTAATTAGGAATGAATACCTAACTTCTAAACAATTTCATTCTATTGTATACATTGTTTAAAAAACTTTTTATGTGTCTTACCAGGTTCTGATTCAGAAGATCTTTTGGAAGAATTGCTCTGTTGTTTGGTGCAATTAATTACTGATATTCCACTCTTGTAAGTTCTGGCTAAGCCAAAATTTATCATCTTTGTATAATGACGATGATAATTGATCATGTTGAAGAGTGTGGGTCTTGGTATAATATTTTTATCTGTATCTTAATGATTATACTCCATGAAATTTTTTTTGCTTATTTTTTAAAATTAATTTACAATTATATGAGTTAGGTAATGAGTAAATTTCCTTTTGTACAGTTCTTCTGTTCCCTCACTCTCTCTCAGTCCCTCCCTCCTGTCTCCACCCATGAGTTGTGTAGTTCACTTTCATCTGTGTCTAGCTGTACTTTTTCACTCTTTCTGCCTCCCTCCCTCCCACCTGAAGATACATACTTGAATGCACCATACATAAAGAGAAGAAGACAATCATCAAAAAATAGAAATTTAGGGCTGGGAAGGTGGCTCAGTGATAGAGTGCTTGCCTTGCATGCATGAGGCCCTGGGTTTGTTTCCTCAGCACCATGTAAGCAAAAAAGAAAAAAACCGGAAGTGGCTCTGTGGCTCAAGTGGTAGAGCACTAGCCTTGAGCTGAAGAGCTGAAGGACAGCACTCAGGCCCAGAGTTGAGGCCCCATGACTGGACCAAAAAAAAAAAATAGGAATTTAAAAAGAAAAGAGATCTCTTGTTTCCGTATCCTCGAGTTTGTTTTGATATTTATGTAAATATGAAGAGGCACATAGACATTGCTTATTTTCCTTCCTTCCTTCCTTCCTTCCTTCCTTCCTTCCTTCCTTCCTTCCTTCCTTCCTTCCTTCCTTCCTTCCTTCCTTCCTTCCTTCCTTCCTTCCTTCCTTCCTTCCCTCTTTCTCCCCCTCCCTCCTTCCCCTACTCCCTTACTCCCTCCCTTTCTCTCTCTCTCTCTTTCTCTCTCTCTCTCTCTCTCCTGTTGTGGGTCTTGAACTCTGGGCCTGGGTGCTATCCATCAGCTCTTCAGCTCAAGGTGAGCACTCTACCTTTTAAGCCACAGTGGCACTTCCGGTTTTATGGTGGTTAATTGGAAATAACAGTCTCACAGACTTTTCCTGCCCAGGCTGGATTTGACCCATGATCCTTAGATCTCAGCTTCCTGAGTAGCTAGGATTACAGGCATGAGCCACTCCTAGGAGTATTCTCTTTTGGTCTCACTTTGTGTGAGTATCTAGAATCCTGTGTGAGTATCTAGAATCCTGTATAATTTATCATATACCAGTGTCTTTTAAATCTAATTTCTGCATATCTAATTTCTGCATTATGAAATTCTTTTATCTCTTTGTCTATCTATGTCTATGATCAAAACAAAAGCTTTATATAATTTATATTAAGGAATAAAATAAGATTTTTTAGCAGTATTAAGCAGATGATGGGCAGAGGATTAAATTGATTTTTGTAAAAAGAACTTTCAGCCAGGCGCTGGTGGCTCACGCCTGTAATCCTAGCTACTCAGGAGGCTGAGATCTGAGGATCGAGGTTCAAAGCCAGCCCGGGCAGGAGAGACCGTGAGACTCCTATCTCCAATAAACCACCAGAAAACCGGAAGTGGCGCTGTAGCTCAAGTGGTAGAGCGCTCGCCCTGAGCTGAAGAGCTAAAGGACAGCGCCCAGGCCCAGAGTTCAAGCCCCACGACCGACCAAAAAAAAAAAAAAAGAACTTTCAGAGTCTGGTGCCACTGGCTCACATGGGTAATCCTAGCTACTCAGAGGCTGAGATCTAAGGATTGCATTTCCAAGTCAGTCTCGGCGGGGAAGTCGTCAGTGAGGCTTTTTTTTGTTTGTTTTTGTAAAGGTGATGTACAGAGGGGTTACAGTTACATAAGTAAGGTAGTACCTGAGTAATTTCTTTTTGAAGTGTTACCTTCTCCTTCATTTTCTCCTACTTTCCCTCCTCCCTGACTCCCTTCCTCGCAAGTTATAAAGTTCACTTCCAACATAATGTCTAGTTGTTGCATTGGGTCATCTTTGTCCCATCATTTCTGTGATCCTCCTCTTTCCCATATGGGATAAACTTATATATACGCCAAAAAGTACTAAAATCAGAAACTGTGACCACAGTGAATAAACCAGACTGGGAAAAGGAGGACAAAAGAAATAACTGAAAGCTAAACAACACTAAACAACAACACTAAACAACAACAACCTCTTGTTTCTATATTATGGAGTTCATTTCTATTAGTATCATTTTATATGGTTATATGTAAATAGGTATTGGGCTATTGTGGTCTTGGGGAATGTAAACTTGTTCAACCACTCTGGAAAGCAGTATGGAGGTTCCTCAAAAGACTAAACATAGAACTCTCCTATGACCCAGCAATCCCACTCCTGGGCATTTAACCAGATGGTCACAAACAAGGCCACACTAAAGCTGCCAGCACATCTATGCTCATTGCAGCATTATTTCCCATAGTTAAGATTTGGAGTCAACCCAGATGCCCCTCAGTAGATGAATGGATCAAGAAAATGTGGTATATATATACAATGGAATTCTATGCTTCCATCAGAAAGAATAACATTGCCCCATTTGTAAGGAAATTGGAAGACTTGGGAAAAAAATCATATTAAGTGAAGTAAGCCAGACCGAAAGAAATACAGGCTCCATGGTTTCCCTCATTTGTAATAATTAGTATACATGTAGGATCATCTATGAGACTCTTATCTCCAGTAAACTACTTATAAAAAGCTGAAAGTGGGGGCTGGGAAGGTGGCTCAGTGGTAGAGCGCTTGCCTTGCATGCCTGAGGCCCTGGGTTCAATTAACAGCACCACATAAGCAAAAAGAAAAAAGCTGGAAGTGGCACTGTGGCTCAAGTGGTAGAGCACTAGCCTTGAGCTGAAGAGCTGAGGGACAGTGCCCAGGCCCAGAGTTCAGGCCCCATGACCGGACCCAAAAAAAAAAAAAAAAAGCTGGAAGTGGCACTGTGACTCAGATGAGCACAAAGAGGCTCGGGGATAGCATTCAGGTGCTGAGTTCAAGCTCTAGGACTGGCAGTAAAGAAAAAAAACACAAAAAAACTTTCAGATTTTTGGAGACTGGAGTTTCTCCTTTTCTTTCTGGCTTGTTTTTATTTTTGCCTTGTTTTTTAGAGAGGACAGATTTGTTTCCAGCTTTCTCTGATGTTGTTTGCTTATTGAGATGTAAGATGAGGTTCTCCAATGAGACTTCTCAGCAAGCTTGTTACTGGGAACTGACTTCTTATTGTTCTTTTTTCTTTTACTCTCCCCACCCCCCTTTGACAGTGCCAAGGGTTAAACTTAGAGTCTCATCTCATGTGTTGTACACATGAGTCATAATAGTTAATTCTTTTTTACTTTTAGTTTTGTGGTTTTGTTTTGCTTTGTCTTATAGGGTCACATCCTTTTATCTGGGCTGGCTTACCTCCTATTTCCACCTCCTACATCACTGGGATTACAAGAATACACATCACCATACCTGGCCATCCTTTTGTTCTTGACAACTCTTTTTCCTTCCATCTAGAACATGGACAAAGTCATAGAGTTTCATACTCACCTTGGTACCACAAGCCACGAATCTCACAGAAAATTCTGTTTTGATGTTATTGGATTGCTGAACCAAAATCAACAATGGTTCCCCTCCTTTCCTCACTCTGGACTTCTCATTTAACAAAAATAGACACTTATTTGTTTATGCTACTGTAACTGGGTTTCTGTCAGTGTCGCTCAGTGCAGTTTCTATGTGATTCAAACTGTCCATCTAGTTTGTTACTTGAAAAGCAAGTTAAAAAAAATTCTTCCTGAGCAGCCTTGTTAGGCATTTCTTTTACCATTTGTCTTCTTCCATACTGAATTATCTGTTTGTGTCTCTGGGCCCTTTCCCCAAACCATTATAGAATCTGTGAAGGTTTTCATCTCTAGTGAGCCAGTTTCACACCACTACTGAGAATACATGTTTAATTTTAATCAACTAATTTGTTTTTAATTTTTTTTTTTTTGGGTCCGGTTGTGGGGCCTGAACTCTGGGCCTGGGTGCTGTCCCTCAGCATTTCAGCTCAAGGCTAGCGCTCTACCACTTGAGCCACAGCGCCACTTCCGGCTTTTTTCTTTTTGCTTATGTGGTGCTAAGGAATCGAACCCAGGGCCTCATGCATGCAAAGCAAGCACTCTACCACAGAGCCACCTTCCCAGCCCAACTAATTTGTTTTTTGAGATGAGACCTTGCTGTGTTCCCTTAGGCTGACCTCAAACTTAATCCTCCTGCTTCAGCCTTCTCAACAGCTAAGGTGAGAATGCATATTTTCAAGAGTTCTTTCTTTCTTTTTTTATTTATGTGATACTGAGGAATCGAGCCCAAGGCCTCATTAAAGGCAGGCAGGTATTCTACCACTAAGTCACATTCCCAGCCAAAGAGTTATTTTTAAAATAAAACACATGAGGATATGGTTGGAAATAGGCTATTTGTCTCTGGCCCAAAAAGCAAAGAGACATTTTTGAGAAAATGGGCTCCTGGCTTCTGTTGTACATGAATCCAGAATTTTAACATTTTTTTAGAAAGAGAAGCACAAATTCCTGACATGATTTGGTGTGGTGATATGCAGCCCAGATGACAGAGCTGAGACAATGAGAATTAACTGTTAAGGAAGGGATGGGGGACAACTTCCCACTAAAGTTAAGGTTTCATGACAGACAGAACTATTTCATGCCTTACATCCCTTTACTTCTTCCTTTCCAATAGAATTCTGATTTTCCTTGGGATGGCAGTGTGTGTCCAGCTTTATTTTCAGACTCTTTGATAACTTCACGTGGCCATGTGACATAGTTTGTGTCACTGAAGTACATTGTAGGCAGGCATCAACTCACAGAGCATAGCACCTGAAGTCCTTTGCTCCTTGCCCTTTCCTCTTTCTACTTGGAATGTGAAAATAGTTCTTGGACCATCTTGAAACCACACATATGAATGCCACTGTGAATAGTGTCTTAGGAGTGTGGGATATTGATGATGCTATGAAGCTATTGTAACTGCTCAGGATCCTTTACTTGAAAAAAATTCCTACCTTGGTAAAACCACTGTAAT